AGAGTAAAGTGCTACAGTCCAGAATTCTTGAACAACAGCTAGAAGACGGATTCTGTGGAAAAAGGAATCCCTCCTTAAACAATTGGGTATGTCCAAACACCCATTCCAATGAGGAATCTTCAAATCACAATCTTCATTCAAAATTGAAGCCAGCAAATGCAACGGATAGTCTATTTTGATTCAACGGATAGATTATCCAATCCAGCTATAAATAGCATCCTTGGAAGACTGGAGAAAACAACAACAACGATAAGAAAAACAACCACAACAAAGCTACCTCATTCACAGTTAGCCCAAAAAGCTTGATAAAGAGAGATTTCTAAACTCCTTATCCAGAAGCAAACTTCTCCTCCTTCCAAAGAGCTATAGTGTAAATACTTGAAGGTTTCCTTGCCTTAAGTACCACACCACGTTGAAGGATATAACTTTTTGTCAAACTTATTGATTGAAAGGGGGTAGGTCAACTTTCTTACAAGTTGGTCTTGCAAGTCCTATTGTTCGGACCTTGCAGTTGTTGAAGAAGCGTGACCTTCGAAGGAACAACAAAGCCAGCACGAGTGCAGTAGCAACATTGGCTTTGCGAAGATATACCGTGCAGAAATTCACACAAGTGTAATTGTTGGTTCATTATTCAACAACCAACTACATAGTGGATTTTGAGGACGTAGAAGGATTACCCCACCTTCGAACCTCGTTAAAGTTTGCGTGTCTCTCTCTTTTATCATTATTCTTACTTGCAATTATATTAACTGTGAAAACTAACTCATCCATATTGATTACTACTCTACCCACCAACTTCCGCACACAATCTAAAGTTCACAAGAACTCTAGATTAACACTCATTTTCACGTTTTCAAAAGAAACGAAAAAGTTTTAAATTTGTAACAAAGTCTATTCACGCGCCCCCCTCTAGACTTTGTATCTCACCACTGTGGGACCACCAATTGGTATCAAAGCTTACTTCTCACTATCTACGTTTAGATTAACGAGAAGCAATCATAATGGTGAACAATATGGATCACGGTTTGCCCAAGTTTTCTCTTCTAGGTTATGATGATTGGAAGATCATGATGGAAGCACATCTCTACGCTCTACATGACTGCATGTGGATGGTGCTTGAGGATGGACCCTTGAAAATCCAAATGGAGAACCCTGAGAGGAATCCAGCCAATCCTGATGTTGTCCAGTACATTCCAAAGCCCAAGGAGAAATGGGATGATAGAGATTGCAAGAAGCACAATCTGGACAACGTCGCCAAAGCAGCCATCTTCAAGACACTTGATCCCATCACCTTCTCCAAGATCAAGCATCTCAAGACTGCCATGGAGATTTGGCAAGGTCTTGGGAAGTGGTGTGAGGGATCGGAGGACCTGAGAAAGCAGAAGATAGAAGTCCTGCTTGAGAAGTTCAAAAGCTTCAAAATGCTTCCCGGAGAATCATTTGATATGTTGGATGAAAGATTCCACAAGATATTGAATGATCTTGCTTCACTTAACCACATTCTTTCTCACAAAGAAAAGAATGTGAGGTTGCTGAGATCACTCCCAACTGAGTGGTACACCAAAGCCACAACCATGGAAGAAGGAAGAAACCTGGAGAACTACACTGTTCATGGTCTCCTTGATGAACTCAGAACCTATGAGCACGAGCTGAAGAAGAAGAAGGAAGAACAAGTCACTCCCTTCCCCACGGCATTGATGACAACTCCAAGAATCCCATCAAGTGAAGGGACATGCACAAGAAACTGTGACACACCTTCCTCCAGCCAGCCGTCAAGCTCAAAAATGGAGAACTACGATGAGGAATTTGCCATGATGGTCAAGCAATTCCGGAAGTTCAAGAAGTTCTTCAAGAAGGCTGATTCAGTCAGAAGGCCATCCAAGGGAAAACTACAAGTAAGTGACTCCCTCCTGAATCTTATTTATGCTATAATTGCAGGAAGCCTGGCCACTGGAAGTCAGCATGCCCGTACCCAAAGGTGGAGAAGTACGGAGAAAGAGAAAGGAACGAGAAGAAAAAGAAGGCAATGGTTGCTGCTGAAAGTGACGAGTCATCCAGCTCAAGCTCGGATGAAGAAGCCCTCGGCTGCATGGAGCGCAGAGTTGAGAAGTCCAACCATGAGGATAGGTGGACTATGTCAGAAGATGACACTCTCTGCCTAATGGCCAAAGATGACGCTGATCAAGAGGTAACCTCACAAACCTCCTGCTCATCTTGTTATGAAAGCATACCAACTTCTGAAAGTCTTTGTGACAAGTTCAAAAAGATGATGAAAGATTTTGAGGAAATAAATCTTAAACACTCATCCTTAATAGAAGAGAACAAGCTATTGAGTGTAGAGAATATCAAGTTGACTGAAGGTCGGAAAAGTCAACTAGATGAGATCACTCAACTCAAGACTGAAAATAAATCTCTCTCTGAAAAGATGAAATCCCTCAACAAGGAGCTTGGGATACTTAAGTCCAAAGTAGCAGTGGATAAGCTTCTTGAAGCGACCAAACAAAAGGGTCGTGAAGGACTTGGGTTTGACCCCTCCAGTTCTAAAAGGAAAGGGAGAACAACTTTTATCCCAAATCCAATAAGCAGAAAGGAAAGGAAAAGGAGAAACCCACAGAAATTCCCAAAAAGGTAGTCCCTCCTAAGAACTATAGGAAGCTGGATATACCTCAAAGAGGAAATAATTTCAGAAGAAAACCTTCTAACCCCCACTATACGCGAGGCTATACTCATTATGGGGTAGATAGGAGTTTTCCAAGAAATTCTGAGTGGAGAACTGTGCCAAAATATAGTGAACCTCCACCCCAGAAACTATTTGTTCCACTAAGTATGCTTACAACCGACACAGGTCACACTATGCACAACCTAGACAAAACTATAGGTCTTATCAACCTAGGTTTGCCAGATGGAAACAGAAAAATGCACCACCTGCTCGTAGGAAATTTTATGCATACAACTATGATTACAATCCCAACAAGTTTAGGGCTGCAAGGAAAATTCCCTGCAACTTCAAACTTGATGTAGGGACACACACCATTAATTATTCCGGACCCAAACTGAATTGGGTACCAAAATCTTCCTCCTCCTAATGCAGGAAGCCGCTAAGTACCCAGGTGTCTGGTACTTAGATAGTGGCTGTTCAAGACACATGACGGGTGATGCGAGCCTCTTGAGCAATCTAATTCCCTATGATGGTCCAAGAGTTACTTTTGGAGGAAGCAATGACTTTGGCCTCACTAAAGGGCTAGGAAATCTGGTGTACAAAGGACTAACCATCCAAGCTGTATCTTATGTGGAAGGTCTCAATTATAACCTTTTGAGCATAAGTCAGTTTTGTGATAAAGGTTACTCCTTGGAATTCTACAAGGACATGGCATCTCTCAAAAACATCTCCACAAATGAAGTCATTCTCACTGGGAAGAGAATCAGAAACATCTATGAAGTAATGTGGGACGATGTCAAGGAAGCCTACCTAATCAGCAAAGGTGACACTAACCTTCTATGGCTTTGGCATAAGAGGTTGAGTCATCTAAACTTCAAAACTCTCAACAAGCTATCCAAAGAAGGGTTAGTAGAAGGTCTTCCCAAAGCTGTATTCAGGAAGGAAAGCATTTGTGATGCTTGCCAGAAATGAAAGCAAGTCAAGTCCACTTTCAAGGCAAAACCGGCACCCTCAACTACAAGGATATTAAGTCTTGTTCACATGTACTTATTTGGCCCCGTTACTCCAATAATTCTAAGTGGAAAGAAATATGTCCTAGTGGTAGTTGATGATTACTCAAGATACACGTGGATAATTTTTCTCAACAGCAAGAAGGAAACTCAAGGGAAGCTCACAAACTGCATGAAGCTGATTCAAAACCAAGCAAGTCAAACCATCCAGAAGATCAGATCTGACAAAGGCACAGAATTCCTGAATGAAATCATCATTCACTACTGTGAAGAAAATGGAATTCTTCATCAGATATCTGCAGCAAGAACGCCTCAACAGAATGGTGTAGCTGAAAGAAGAAACATAACCTTGAAGGAAGCAGTAAGAACCATGCTAGCCGAAGCTTCTTTGCCAAAGAGGTTCTGGGCTGAAGCTGTTAACACAGCTTGCTATACTCAAAATAGGAGTATGATTTATAAAAGGAACGGGAGAAAGCCCAATATATCATATTTCCATATTTTTGGGAGCAAGTGTTTTATGTTAAACAACGGGAAGAATCATCTGAACACTTTTGATGAGAAATCAGATGAGGCCATCTTCCTTGGATATTCTATGGTGAGCAAGGAGTTCAGAGTCTTCAACAAAAGAACCATGATCACTGAAGAGTCAATACATGTTATCTTTGATGAAAAACATGTGGGTGACAAACCATCAAAGCATGATCATGAGGTTCTGGATCTCTCAGACAAGGATGAAGAAGCCAGCGAAGGAGATAGGATGAAACCTACGGAGTTCATTCCATTCGGAAGTCTACCACTGAAGACTTCACAAAGAAATCCAGATTCAGACGGTGCTGAGCCCTCCGGAAATCATGGCCAGCCTTCCATTATTCTGGATCACTCAAACGGCGACAATTCCGGAAATGGTGACCCAGTGCCAATCCATCCGGAATCACCAACAAACTTTGTTCTTCAACCAGAAGCTGAACTAGATCAACCAGTCAACCCTAATCAACACAATCTCCGTTGGTTAAGGGATCATCCTCCCCAACAAGTCATTGGAGATATTCAATCTGGCGTTCGCACAAGGAGTGCCCAACAGAATCTAGAAGCTATGCTTGCTTGTTTCATATCACAAGTGGAACCTAAGAATATTGAAGAAGCTCTAGCTGATTCTGGTTGGATCAATGCAATGCAAGAAGAATTCAACCAATTTTCCAGAAATGACGTTTGGAAACTTGTTCCCAGACCTACTCATCAACATGTCATTGGGACAAAGTGGGTCTTCCGGAACAAGATGGATGAAAACGGCGTTGTTGTCAGAAACAAAGCCCGGTTGGTTGCCAAAGGATATTGTCAAGAAGAAGGTATAGATTTTGATGAAACCTTCGCTCCAGTTGCTAGACTTGAAGCTATAAGGTTGTTTCTAGCCTCTGCTGTTCACAAAGACATCAAAGTCTATCAAATGGATGTCAAAAGCGCATTTCTCAACGGGAACCTAGGGGAAGAAGTTCATGTGGAACAACCTCCAGGATTTGAGTTACACACTAAAGGAGATCAAGTGTATAAACTCAAAAAGGCGCTGTATGGACTCAAACAAGCACCAAGAGCTTGGTATGATACATTGTCTCAATTCCTTATAGACAATGGATTTACCAAAGGAGTCATTGCCAAGACATTATTCAAACTACAAGATGGAGAAGATCTCTTGTTGGTCCAGATCTAGGTGGACGACATCATATTTGGCTCAACTAAGGAAGATCTTTGCACCAAGTTCTCCACCCTCATGCAAGGAAAATTTGAGATGAGCATGATGGGGGAACTCAACTACTTCCTTGGTCTTCAAATCAAACAGAGAAGTGAAGGGACTCTGATTAACCAAGCCAAGTACACAAGAGATCTTATCAAGAAATTTAAAGTTGATCAGAAGTCATCCATTTCTGTCCCCATGAGTACATCCACCAAGCTAGATATGGATGTAGACGGAAAGGATGTTGATCAAACGCTCTACAGAGGAATTGTTGGATCTCTACTCTACCTTACTGCAAGTCGTCTGGATATCTCATATGCAGTAGGTGTTTGTGCCAGATTCCAGTCCAAGCCAAAGGAGAGTCATCTGATCGCAGCTAAAAGGATTCTTAGATACCTCAAAGGAACTCAGAACATGGGTTTATGGTATGCTAAGAGAAATACATTTGAGTTAGTGGGATACTCAGATTCTGACTTTGCCGTATGCAAAGTTGATCGGAAGAGTACATCTGGTACTTGTCAATTCATTGGCGGAAATCTTGTTTCTTGGTTCAGTAAGAAACAAAACTCCATCTCTACATCAACAGCAGAAGCAAAATACATTGCTGCTGGTACTTGTTGTGCTCAAATCTTGTGGCTAAAGCAACAACTACTGGATTATGGAGTCAAGACAAGAGAAGTGACAATTTTCTGTGACAATCAAAGTGCTATAGCCATCTCACAAAATCCAGTGCATCATTCTCGCACTAAGCACATTGATGTCAAGCATCACTTCATCAGAGATCATGTGGAAAAGAAAGATATCAAAATTGAATATATCTCAACTGAAGAACAATTGGCGGATATCTTCACAAAACCACTAAGTGAAGCCAAGTTTTCTGATTTGCTTCACAAAATTGGTCTAATTCAATTAGACTGAGTGCGGTACATGTCGCAGTCCACTTTCAACGTCTGTCAGAATATTGGGTAGGCACGTGGTCTTGGGAATAGTTAAAAACCCAATCGCCACTAGCCGCATAAATCGCCCAAATTAAACCCAATCGCCACTATAATCAGATCTCAACTGCCCACTCAGCCCACTCAAATTTTTCATCGTCTTCTTCGCAAGAACCTTCTGATAAAATCTCAAGAACCCTAATTTTTTCAGATCTTCTCACTCAAATTTCTGAGAAAATGAAGATTGTTGGCGCTAATGTCCATTTCCAGAAGTTGGAAGCCAAAAGCTCTTCACCAACGTTCTATCAATTCTATCTGGAGATGATTGATGCTCAAGAGCTCTCCGAATTCCTTTATATGGAGATTCGATTGAAGTATGAGAACAAAGTTCTTGAATTCTACAAGAATGGAAAGGTCAAGAGTGTCAAATCAAAGAAGGACCCACAGAGGACGATTCAAATCATCAATTCCACTGTTGGAGGGGCCAAAGTGAAGCTTTCGCAGAAGAAATTGGGAGAAAAGCTTCACCTTCCCAATTCTGGAGTTGAAATTGGGAGACTTCCAGCCAAGAATCTGGATTGGAATATGATTGGAATTTCTGGGCAAGCTCCCTCTGGCCCAGCGAAGAAAGCTGATCTGAACAACGACTACAAGCTAGTCCTTGAGCTGGTCATCGCATGCCTCGAGTGTGGAAGTGGAGGACATGCTGATGACATCACCCAAGAGAGGGCCTTCATCATCAATGCCCTCATTACCAAGTCTAAGTTAAATTGGGCTGCACATTTCTTCAATTCCATCTCAAAGCATCTGGGAAAACCCAACCAGAAATACCTTTGCCAAGGTCTGTACATTGGACATATTTTGGAGTCCATGGGTGTTGCTTCTGACGATGAGGATCCTGCAGTCTACAGGCCAATCTTCTCAAAGGCTACAAAAGATCAGGTGGCTCCTACCACTAAAGCACAAGCAGATATGGAAGCCACAGTAGAGGATTTCCAAATTTTCCTGGAAACCTCCCCTTCCATTGAAACGATTCTGACTGAAGTTGACCAGGAGAATGCAGCCTCTACTCCACAAGAACAGAACCAAGAAGCATCAGAAGAAGAACTCCAGCAACTTCTCCATTCTCAAGCTTTAGAGATTCTCACAACTCCTTGTGAGATCACCAATCCTACTGAAACTGAGATTTCGGAGAAGTCAGCAAAAAATCTGGAGATGTCCAAACCTCCAGAAGCAAATGAAGTTCAAGAAGAGCAAGCTGTAGAAATCCAGAGAAGTTCTGCAGAAGCTGAGAAGGAAATTCAAATGGCTGGACTGGAGACCTCTGAAACTCCAGTAGCTGTGTTTAAGCAGCAGAATGAAGTTGAAGAAAGAGATTCCCTCTCTAGAGAGTCTCAAACTTTATGCTTGATGAGATAGAAGAAGAGTCTGAAAGGATATTAAAGATTGATGATGGAGAAGCTGAGCAAGAAGATGCTGAATCTCTCCCTATGCAACTCTTCACATCAGGTAACTAACTTTCACTTCCACAACTCTTCCACATCCACCCTTCCGGATGAGATACCGGAAAACTGGACAAGAAAGGTCCAAGGGTTGATTGAATCAGCCCTAGCGTCTCAGCATGCCTCCTTTAGGCAAGAGATAGAGCAAATGGAAGCTAGGCATAACAAGCTGATGGAGAAATCCGAAGAAAAACGTTGCTCAAATCTCAAGGAGATAAGCAAATCCGTGGACAAGACTCTAGAGATTATTTCTCTTTTGAGTAACTCTATGAGCAACACAATGGAAGCCTATGCATCTGACAGCCACCTACAATTCAAAGAAATCACTAGAATCAAGGAGCAGATAGCAACTGTCACAGTCAGTCTTCAGAAGCAGATGGGACTCCTTTAGATGGATATCATATCAGCCTTGGCAGTGTCTTCAGCAAATCAGGTGGTGATCCAATACTACTTAAAGGTTATTGCTGAAAATTAGAAGGAAGCATTCAGGATGTTCAAGCACTTTGGATGGCAATCGCAAGATAGATGTAATTGTCCAACACAATAGTCCATCCCTGATCCCACAGCTGCCTATTGAAGTCAAGCAAGGAGAGCTCACTTACATTCCATCTCATCTGAACATGACGGAACTGATACTAGAAGCCCAGCAGAGCAATCCGGAAAACTCAACTCAACATCTAACAGACTCTGGCCTTGATGGATCAGAAGTTGTTGGAACCATTGCCTCCCACTTCTCAGATGATGCACAAACAAAGGAGAGATACAACAATCTAAGGCGCATCAAAGAACAGTGTGGAATTATGCAAGGCATTGGTGAGACTGCCGGATCATCAAAGCGCAGGAAGCAGTGAAGGCTCTTTTCATCAAACCAGGGGGAAGTATGTGAAAATATTATTTGGTTTGATGAAAACACCTTCTTGTTTTAACATGAGTTTTAGTTTAAACATTGCTTAATAGTTCTCTTAATTACGCTTATTTTGCTTGATCATATTCACTTTGAGTGTGATTTTTGAGATTTACTCCTGAGCGCATACATTCAGGGGGAATATAATTCAGGGGGAATTTAACTGTTTTTGGCTAACAATTGCTTCAATTGTTTTTGGCAATGAACTATTGATAAACTCTAAGCAACGGAAGCCGGATACCTTAGTTTAAGTACTAAAGTTGGAGATCTCCGATTCAGGTACTTTACAAAATCTGCTTTCTTAAAACTGAGATTTAATCCTTAGTTCATTTCCAACTTTGCTCTTAAGTACTAGTCCTTAGGGTTTTCATAATGTACACCACTTTGGAAAAATAGTACCACTTTTCTTTTGAAATAAGTTACAATTTTTTTTGGTACTACCTCGTCCTATTTAGAAATTAGAACTATAGAGAACGAAAAATGATAGTTTTATTTTGGGCCTTGAGAACCCAATAGGAATAATTTCCCTTTAGTACATAGATATTTTTTGGGCCACTCTTTTAGGCTTAGCCAAACGAAAACAGTTACATTTTTCAAACCAAACGAAACTGATTTTTAAATTTGAACAGTTTCAACACATTGGTAATTGGTAAAAGATTCCTTCCACTTCTCAACTTCTTGGAAGTTGAAACTCTTTTAATCTCACCGTTCCATCTACCCAATTAGTGCAACCCGTGAACCTCCCCTCTCTCTACCTCCTCTCCTATTTAAATCAAGACATCCCAATCCATTCCTATCACAAACAACTCTTTCAATATGAAAAGTCTTCAAACTCACTATCTAAGAAACACACCAAGAAAAATATCCTCAATGGAGAAATTTTTCTTTCTCACCCTCATAGACGGCAAATGGCAAAAAATATCACAAATCTCAAGACAAGACTTGGTTTAGGAATTATTGTAATTTGAATTGTACTTGTTTAAGAGTTTTTGTTAACAAGCTGTATATTATGAGAAACTAAAAGAAAGTTATAAAATTAGTTCTCAGTACAGCGACCGAAACTCTTGAACACTTGTTTGTCATCATCAAAAAGGGGGAAATTGTTGGGAAAATATTATAGATTTTGATGATGATGTATTTAGATTGTAATAGAGACTTTAGGCCTCCCCCAATATTCAATGTAATTTTTCTTTTTAGAAATATTGTTAAAACCGAGTTGTTGAGATTTCCAATAAAGTTGTGATATTTCTTTAAGTGGTTTGATGCTTGAAGACTTAATCAAATTCTGTGATATGAAATTGGATATCTTGATCGGAAATGTCAGAGACAAGTAAGGATTTCTCAAAGCAGATGAAGATACTCTAATCCGGAACACTACATGATAACCAGATGTCTCGCTACAACCTGCTGAAGGCTAAGTCATTCAAATCGGAGGACTAGTGCGGATCTCTTTCTCACCCGGAAGTCTGTGAATGACTCTTCCGGATTTGTCAGCAAAAGAACCGGATGCCTCAAGAAAAAATAAGAACTCTCAGAAGCGGACAAGTGAGAAAAGACATAGAAAAATTCTAAGTCTTGAATGAAGAAATTCTACATGTTGGTAAGAAAAAATCAGTCTCTTGATTTTCAGCGGCTAGATTGAAGATAATTAAGCTGATTCAAGAACAAATGACCTGAAGACAAAGTCTGGACCCCTCAAATTAAAGAGCTCGTCCAGAATTCCTAAACAAGCACTAGAAGACAAACTGAGTAAAGATCTACAGTCCAGAATTCTTGAACAACAACTAGAAGATGGATTCTGTGGAAAAAGGAATCCCTCCTCAAACAATTGGGTATGTCCAATTGTTGGATTGCTCTTTATTGTTGGTTATTTCTGTCATTGATTCTCCGGATGTGTCTAGCATTGCCTTGGATTTGCTCTAGAACTTGTTGGATTGCTCTTTCTTGTTGGTTATTTCTGTCATTGATTCTCCGGATTGCATTTTTGGAGTCCAAGTGCAAGTCAATGGGTCCATGTTGGATTGAGATGGCCCAATTAAGGCCCACGATAGCTGCTTCCATCTCACCATCTCCAGAGGAGTTCTGCGTTTGCAAATGGGTGCTCATTGCACCAAGAAATTCTCCTTCCTTTGTTCGTAGAATAGTGGCGCCAACCATTGAATCTCCGGCAACTGACACGTCCACGTTGAGGGTGGTGCGCTCTCCAGTCCATTTGAAAGTTTTGATCCTGGTAAGTAATCTGATTGGGCATTCAATTTGACTTGGGAGCCTTCCTTTTCCTTTTCCTAGTATCCATTCAATTAGTTTTCGCCAGATCATTTGAATAATTTGTGCTGCTGTTTTTGATTCTTGTTGGTATACTTTTCGATTTCTTACTTTCCAGATTTCATATGTGATGATCCCTGGGGCACATTGTTTGAACACTCTGCAGGTTCCAGGTATGTCTGTGTTTCTCCACCACGTCATAAGGTAGGCGCGTATTCCATGTGTTGTGTTGTGAGGGATGTTGAAAATCTGTTCAAAGTAGGTCCATATTTGGTTGCTGTAACTGCATTGCTTCATGATATGATTTGCTTCTTCTTGATTATCCCTGCAAAGAAAACAAATAGAGGGCAAGCTCTGGCCAAAACGTGTTAGTGTATTTGGGAGAGGAAGGATGTTTTTATAATGTTTCCATAAGAAGAGAGATACTTTAGGATATTGATAAGAATTCCAGGTGTTGACAAGGAATTTGTCAGGGGTTTTTTTTTCTCTCAAAGCATTGTATGCTCTCTTTATACTGGAGCCTGGGTGGCCCTCATTCCAGCAAATGGTGTTGTGTTGTTTTAGGTGGAATAGGTTATAGGCAGTATCATTGATATGGTGGAGCCTTTTCCAAATGGGGGAGTCAGTGGGTTTGGGTGGGGAATTTAATCCCTTGGGATATCTTTTGTGGATGAAATTTGCCCAAAAGGAGTTCTTGTGAGGGTAACTCCACCACATTTTCAACCCATAAGAGTCTTGAAGGGTATCCAGATTATAAATGCCCAGTCCTCCTTCCTCTTTAGGGTTGCAGATGTCCTTCCATGTTGCCCAGTGATATTTTTGGTTGTCTCCTTTAGATCCCTAGAAGAAATTGGCCATTTTTCTGTTGAGGCATGTAGTGACACTTTTAGGGAGTTTGGTGGTTCCAAGGATATGTAGAGGAATGGAACTAAAAACATGTTTGATTAGGATAAGTCTTCCACTTTGGGAGAGCAGGTGCTTAGTCCATCCTTGGAGTTTCTGATCAAAGTGTTCAAGAGTGCCCAGGTATTTAAAGGGGAAGAAACCTCTCTACATGTTTAGGATTTTCCCCATCTTAGAGGCTTGGGCTGTGGGTGTCTTGTCAGGTGTGTAAAAGAAACTTTTTTGTAAGTTGATAGCTTGTCCAGAAGCCACCTCATAATCTTTTACGAATTTTGCCAGTTTCTGTAGATTGCTAATTGATCCATTACTGAAAAGAATCAAATCATCAGCAAAAGCAAGATGGGATATGGGTAGTAGGTGTCTGCCCATGTTGTAGCTTTTCAAATTCCCATTGTTGGTGTCCACTTTGAGGGTTCTGCTGAAACTTTCAGCAGCTAGGATAAAAAGGAGAGGAGATAAGGGGTCACCTTGTTTTAGTCCTCTTTGGGATTGGAAAGGTTTGCAGGGGTAACCATTGATAAGGATAGAGTGATAGGTGTATTTAAGGTTGTTAAGGATTAAAGTATTAAATCTGTCACTGAATCCAAACTTTTCAAGAACCATGACCAAAAATTCCCAAGAGACTCTGTCAAAGGCTTTGGAGATGTCCAGCTTAATGGCAATATTTCCTCCTCTTGATTTGTAGTTGATTCCATGGATCAATTCTTGAGCAATCAAGATTTGGTCATGAATCTGTCTGCCTTTGATGAACCCCCTTTGTTCAGAAGAAATAAGGTTAGGAAGGAAATGTCCCACTCTCATAGCCAGAATTTTAGTGTTAATTTTGGCTATGAAATTGGAGAGGCAAATGGGTCTATATTCATCAAAGGAGGAGGGGTTTTCTTTTTTAGGAATAAGGATGATGGTGGTTTTCCCCATGGATTTGGGAATAGGGATTCCCAGAAAAATTCCTGGACAGCCTTGATCACATCTTCCTTGATAGTTTCCCATCCTTGTCTAAAGAAGTCTCCTGTAAACCCATCTGGTCCAGCTGAGCTATCTGGATCAAGACTCCAAACTACCTCTTTCACTTCTTCCTCAGTAGGGAGTTTGGTAAGAGTAGTGTTTATTGAGTCATCCACTAGGAGAGGGATATTGTCCATGAACTTGTTCATGCCCTCACAAATGTGATTGGAGAAGAGGACCTTGATAAAGTTAGTTGCCTCATGTTGGATATCATTGGTGTTCTCCAACCAGTTGCCATTAGAATCTTTGATTCTATGGATTTTTTGATGGATTCTTTTTTCCTTGATTTTGGCATGAAAGAAAGAGGAGTTACACTCACCCTCTTTGAGCCATTTAATGCCTGCTTTTTGCTTCCAAAATGAAAATTCATTCTTAGTTGCATGAATTAGGTTGGCCCTTTTTTCATTCATGAAAGCTCTATTGTCTGGGGTAGGATTAGAATCAAATTCCTGTTCTGCTTGTTGGAGATCTTTTTCCAGAGCCTCAACTGTAGAAGTGATGTTGCCAAAAGTTGTTTTGTTCCAATGCTGGAGAACCTTTGAGAGCTTACTAAGTTTATCCATGAGTCCTTTCATTCCTCCCCCACAGTATTTTCCCCAGTTTCCTTCAAGGACTTTTATGAAGGTGTGATTCTTAGACCAACAGTTGATATACCTGAAAGGTCTAGGGCCAGTGAAAATAGGGTTAGAGGCTTTTAATAAGATGGGGCAGTGATCAGAAGTGCCTCTAGGAAGGTGTTGAGAGGTAATGTCTTCAAAAGTGTTGAGACAATGGCTGTTAATAAAGACTCTGTCAAGTCTTTTCCACAATCTGCCCAGAGACCTAGTGCCTATCCAAGTGAAAGGAGAACCAGAGTAGGGTGGGGAGTGAAGACCACAATCCATAACACAATCATCAAAGTCCTGGATGCTATGAAGGAATGGCCACCTTGGTTAGTACCTCGTAGTGTAATTTCCGGAATATGATGGCCACCTTGGTTAGTACCTGCTTCACATGTCCTTTAAAGATGAAATAAGTTTCTTCTTCACCAATTGGACGATAATACTCTGTGGAATTTAATTCCTTAGAATATATAACATCCGGTGTAGTTTCCTCCACAACAACCTCGGAATCTGGTTCTTCAATGAAGACGTCATTTTCATATTTGACTTGAAAATCAGAGACGTCTTCAACAATGACAAGCTGGTCGTTGAAGCTTTTCTTTTCCTCTTCACAAATTATTTCTTCAATCAAAACTTCTGCACGTGAAGCTTCTTCATTAATCTTGGCCCATTGTTCATACGGTACGGCATGTTCATTTGGGCATATCCAGTAGATATGACCATAGCCACAACACTTGTAGCACCATTGAGTTGGCCCTTGTAATATAGCCTCATTGGCGTAGATGATCTCCAGATTTTTGAGGTATCTTTGGACATCCATATTTCAACAACCAGATATTGGAAAGATGTAATTCCAACTCCCAGAGTTAGATATTGAAGTCTTTAAAGACATATCAAAATTTCAGTGCCATTGAAAAATATTTTCTACCTCTTTGGAGACAAACTCAGCAAGGTAGACAGAATCCGGCCAGGACTGTGTTATCAACTTCGGGAGGGCGTATCTCTCAAACCGTAATTTGGAATTGAGTGAAATCAGCGGCCAGATGTAGATAAAAGGTTAAACTACTGAACTGGAAAGTTTCACCTTCAAATACGTCGTGTAGCATCCTCCGTGCTCAACGCCATGGAACTGAAAGTTTCTGGGGAAGAAATTTCAGCAACGTTCTTTTTGGGCAGCGTTTGCGAAGCCGGTCCTCAAGGTTATCATCGAGACTTAAGAAAGCCTCGAAGCTGAGCTTTGATACCAAATGTTAGGGGTGAACCGGGGGTCTTATCAAGTTGTTATTTTTGGAGATGGAACTGTGGAATAATGAAGGGGAAATGGGCTGGATGAAAATATGGGAATGTGAAGGAGTTCTTTTTGGGTTTTGATATTATGAAGAAGAGTGGAAAATCAGGGATGAAGGATGGGTTTAGAAAGGATGGGATAAATTCGAAATAAGGAATAAGATATAAACACACTCTTATCTTAATTTGGAGCCAAATTAATACTAAAGGATAAGCTCACCTCTAGATTAACTTGGGGTTAAACTCTAGTATTTAATCAAGATATTACACACTCAATCAAATAACTAGAACCTAAAACTCACACTTAAGATAACCACTCTTAAGATATAGAATTAGGAATTTGGCTAAAATAACATCACACTATTTTATGAATACTCAAAGAGTAAAAGGTTTTCAATATTCAAAGATGTGTTACATTTGGCCATAGGGCCTGATTTATATAGGGAGAGGGGAAGGGGGAAATACATAGTACAAAACATGAGGAAACTTCCTGGAAGCAACTATTTCACACACATGTGACAATACCCATTTATTCTTGTCTCCTTAATGGAAAGAAATCAGAGATGGGGGCTGGTTTGTGGGGCTGTTGTTGGGTTATTATTGTGGGCAAGTTATGGTGGAGTGGGCTGCCATTTTGGAGGGTATTGGGTGGGTTGATTCGGCCAGGCAGGGGGTACAAGGGGTGAGTGGGTTGGCTATTTTGGAGGGATGTAATAGGTAGTTTATGGGGAGCAAAGGTGAGTTGGGTGGCTGCCAAGGTGGGGCCAATATGTTTTGTTTGTTTGCAGCTTGTTTCCTTACACATAATGGAGAGTATAATGGGGAACAATTGTGGGGGCTGTGACATGGATTGTGGGCAGGGATTCTTGGCAAAGGGTGAAGGGGAAGGGGAAGGGAATAATGTGATTTTGGATTTATGGGTTTGGGATATTGTAAGGGGAATATGGGCAGGATATATGGCTGGTTGTGGGTCATGGTTTTTGGCTCTTTGTTGATGTTGCATTGGGATTGTGAGGGATATTTGGATAGGGATTTAGAGGAAGGGAGAGAAGGTTTTATTTGTTTATTAAAAGGTTTAAAAGAAGGAAAATAACAACAAACAAAAGGTTGTATTTTACACTCTTATTTTTGGCCCTAGGCTAAAATAAGAGTAGGAAAAACTTTATTTTGGATATCAAAAGGAAATAAAATACTTTTGGATATTTGGGAGGGGTTGGGATTTTGGTGGAGCCATCCAGGGGTATAACAGTTTGGAAGGAGGAGTTGTGTGATTTGATAAGTTGTGCCAGGGGATGAGGTTAAAGGTTCGGGAATTGTGGTAGGGAGGTGTTGGGTTATGTGGTTGCAGGAGTCTGGAAGGGGATTTGTGATTGGGGGTGGGTTGTCTGTGGTTTTAGGTGAGTTGTCTACTAGGGCAGTGGGTGTATAAACTGTCAGGGGTAGGGTTGTTTGGTCATGTAGTGGGGAAAGTGCCGTTTGGTTTGATATTGGGGTTGTTTGGGGAGGTTTTGATAAGTGTTGTGTATGGGTATATTATCTTGCAGAGGAGGTGTTGGTTGAGGGTGTTTGGAGTCTTGTGGTATTTGCATAGTAGTTGGAAGGAAAGGAGTGGGGTTGATATGTGTTTGATTGGAAAGTGGGCCAAGGCATGAGGATTTCTGGCTTTGGCTGTTTGGAATGGAGTTTGGGTCAGAGGAGGTTTTTTGGTTTTGCTTGTTTGGAATGGGATTTTTTTCCATGGGTGGCCTTTTAGCTTTTCAACCGGAGAGGCTTGAGTAGGAATTTCAATTACCTGTTGTGAGGTTGCAATGGTTGCTGCTGCGTAGCTTTTCCTTTGTGGTGGATATGGTGTGAAGAGAGGTTTCTGAGCATGAATTGTTGATGGAGAGTTGGCTTTTTTTGCTGGTTGCTGGTTGAAGGAGGATGTGTTGGTGGCTTGGAAATAGAGGAAGGCTGGCCGGAGTTTCCCCCGGAGGAGCTAGCCGGCATGGTGTAAAGAGGCTCCGCCGCTAAGAGAGAGAAAAATAATATTTTATATATATATATATATATATATATATATATATATATATATTGAAAAACTACTATCCTAAACGAAGCGATAGGAATGATCTATGTATGTATAACTAATATTTATCCATTTAGTAAAGCTTATACATCGGCGCTGCTTATGTAACCGATGGGAAAGCTCTCAAGTTTACACATCAAAAATTTATGCAATGTGTAAAGTTTACACATCGGGTAAATATTCGTTGTGTAAAGTTTACACATCGAAAAAATATCCGCTGTGTAACCATGATAGCTTTCCCATCGGCTGCATAGGCAGCGCTTCTTTTGCGATGGGAAAAGCCTTATTTATCTGATGTGTAAAGTGCTTTTTGTAGTAGTGACGCTTATTACGCACAATTCTCTTAAAAATAGTTTTCTTTACTTATTATAGATAACCGTGAAAAAACGGTGTGACACATACTACGAGTAATACATTACGGTTTCTCAAATCTTTGAAAATAGTTCTAGGCTTAATAGTCTAACTATTGTTTAAAAAGGGTATTCTTAACTTATTATAGACAACTTGTAATAGATTACGGCTTCTACGAATTTCAAAAATAATTCTACGCTACACAAATACACTACTGTTACAAGGGGGTCTTCTATTCTTATACTCCCTCCGTCCACATATAAACTTTACGTTGCGCGTTACGATGTTTGACTAAAGTTATTTTAAATCATTTTATATGAAAAATGGTGTGAAACTTTAAAATAAAAATCACATATTAAAAAACTATATTAAAAGATCTACAAAACTAGATGTGACATGACTATATTATTTTATCAAATGGGTAACGAAAATAGCCCAACAAAGTGAATAAAGTTTGACCCTGTGAATAGTGAACGTAAAGTTTATTTGTGGATGGAGGGAGTAATAAACAATTCTGCAAAAAAAACCATATGAAACATACAACTAACAATACAATGCTATTTCTTACAAGTTTAAAAATAGTTATACACTGGTAAACCAGACTTCTGTTTGTAAGTAGTAGTCTTAACTAATTATTGACAAATGTGGCAATAAAAACTGTATTTTTTATGAAACTGACTACTAATAATAGATGACTGTTTCTCACTACTTCAAAAACAGTTCTACCCATAATTCATAGACCATTGTTGCAAAAGAGTCTTCTATTCCTATTATAAACAACAGTGGCAAAAAACCATATGAAACAGACAACAAGCAATAGATAACTGTTTCTAATAAGTTTAAAAACAGTTCTAGACAAAAAAAACCCAGACTATTGTTTAAATAGAGTATTCTTAACTTGTTATTGACAACTGTTGTAAGAAAAACTGTATTTTGAACTAACATAGACAACTAATGATACATTACCGTTTCTCGAAACTTTAAAAATAGTTTTAAAGCATAGCAGCTAGACTACCATTCCGTTTCCAAGAAAAACTTATAGTAGTTTGTTTTTTTTTCAACTACTGTGTTTCCATTAACAGTAGTTAATCAACAGTCGTCTGATACTGTTTTTGGCGTAGTCAGAAGAGACGCAATCCCCATTCAGAAGCTACCCGGTTGGTCTCCAGCGCAAGGCTTTCCTCCCAAGGTTCTCCCTCTCCTCAGCAGTCATATGGACAGAGCCCTGAGGAGTGGGGGGATTATGACATGGGGGGAAATAGGCGTCCGTCTACGCGGAGGGAAAAGGACGGAACCTTTTGGGATCCGCCTCCCCCTTCGGCGTAGGCGGAATGAAGCCGTAAATCCTCCTCTCACGCCCCATCGTTCTCCTTGTCCACCTTCATGGGAGTGACTGGAGGGTGTCCACAAGGGATGGTTTTCAATCCCACCCATTGGTACCCTTTCGTTTTCTTTTTCTTTTGAAGGATGCATCTGGAGGACAATGGGCTCTCTCCGCACCTCCCCCTTTCGGCATCCCTTTTCTGGTTCATGCAGGGCAGCAAGGGCCAGCGGATTCGTTCCCCTTGCCGCACTGTTCCCTACGGATCATTGAAGTGCCGTTTGGACCAGCCTTCAAGTTTTTTCAGTAGTAGGGTAGAAGTAGATCAGGGACAAAGTTCATTGTTGTAACCCAAAAGAATGTAATTTTCTATTTGAGTTATCTAATGGAAAACTCTATCTCCCGTCTTTTAGCGTTCTCATTGTTAGATCAGGGATAAGGTTCATTGTTGTAACCCAAAAGAATGTAATTCTCTTTATGAGTTATCTAATGAAAACCTTTATCTCCTGTCGGTTATTATGACCATACTTTGTAACACCCTAATCTGTCCAGGTCTGCAGCCCCATTCGGACTAAAGTATTTAACTTGGTAATCGTAAAAATTTAAAACTTTTCAAACACACTTTATTAATCCCATTAATATTTTTCATAACATATACAGTACGGAGTATTCAACAATATTGCGGAAGCGATTTTAGTATTGACATATCATAAATTGTTTCAAAACTTGTCACATCCATCCCGACAATCTCGCCCCATCTGCCGCCAGGATCACATTATGCTTTCTGCTTACCTGCGTGTAGCAAATAAAACACACTACACGCTCAGCGGTAAAGCTGAGTAAGCATATCTAATGTGTCGAACATCCATATAAACTTAATCTAAATTCATAATCAATCATTTGATATCATGCACACAATGTTCATTTCAGACATTCACAGTTTTGGTATCGTTCAGTTCATATCAACACATTTTATTCAATTCAGATACTATTGCAATAGTGCTCTTAAATTATTCTTAATCTAAGGCCAGATCATAACAACGCTCTTAGCTATTCTTAGTCTAAGGCCAAATCATAATTTCCATAATCACATTCTTAAAAGGCAATTATTAAACAGACACTTAAACTATCATTAGTTTAAGGCAATTGATTTCGGACACTTAACTGTAGTCAGTTAAGGCAATCAGACACTTAAACTATCATTAGTTTAAGGCAAATGATTTCGGACACTTAACTGTAGTCAGTTAAGGCAACAACAATATAGCGATTGGTCAACAATGGATCGGGCATTCCTAATGAGTAATCTTCTAGTTTGGTCTACGAATCCCATTTATGAATTTATATCTAATTCATCAACTATTCATGTTTTCATAAGTTCATTCTAAGATCTATTCTAGAGGTCTTCCAGATAGTCTTAACATTAATTAGCTAATAGGAATATCTTAAAGTTCTTCTAGATATCCTTAACAACATTGTTCATCAATTCATACTCTTAGTTCAACAATCATTTCATCCAGAATATTCATCATTAATCCATAATATTCATAAAAAAGAACAATCAATCAATCATCATAATAACTAATAACAATCAGCGGCCTAGCATCGAGTGTTAACACCCTAGCTTACCGTCATGCATCACATAAGATCCCTTTTAGTTGTTAAAATACCATCTTTATTCCAAGAAATCATCCTTTTATTAATCACAATGGTTTGGTATCAAAATATAGGATTCCATAACTCAAAAATCATATTTTCTAAATAACAATTGATTAATATATGATAGGAAATTTAATTATTAGCTATTAGCTTCATTTTCTTCAATAGTGTAGGGTGACAGTCTACTGTCACTTCTGATAATCTACTGTCTGATGTTCAGAATGGGCTGATAATCGATTATCACACTCTGATAATCGATTATCAAACTTCAGAGAGGGCTGACAGTCGATTATCACATTCTGATAATCGACTGTTGCTCAGCTTTGTTACAAAAATCTGCAGAACGATGAATAATCGATTTTCAAGTTGATAATCGATTATCCATCGTCTTCTACCTCGAGCCAACTTGCGGAAATGTCACTTTTACTCACCAAACTTCAATTAAAGTATATAAA